TTATATCAGAAATTTGAGCATGTAGCTGATGGATATCCACAGACAAGTGGATATTATTCCACAACCTCCTAAAATGCTGTTGAATTAAGTTCCAATCAAGTTCTGGATTACTGAAAAATAACACAAATCTATTTATATCGTGAACAACCTTAGCTGGGAGTGTAAACTGGATATATTGAATTTTATTTCCCTTGAGCAATCTTCCTTTCTCTAAAGCATTTAGTCTGTTTTATAAGCCTTTATCTATTTACTCTTGGATCATATGAGCGAGCAAACAACTTTTTAAAACAACCTAAAAAGCAACTATACACATGGACCTCACAAGATGGAATACACAGGAATCAAACTGACTGTATCTGTGGAAAGAGACAGTGGAAAAGCTCAATATAATCATTCAAAACAAGACCTGGGGCAGACTGTGCAACAAGCCACAAATTGTTCCTATGTAAGTTTGGGATGAATCTGTAGAACATTAAAACAAGTTTATGAGAGTCAAAATATAATCTTGAAAATATACCACCTGAATTTAGAGACCATTTCAAGAACAGATTTGATGCATTAGACACTAATGACCAAATACCAGAAGACTTGTGGGATGACATCAAGAACATCATAAATAAATAAAGCCAAGGTCATTAAAAAGATAGGAAAGAAAGAAAAGACCAAAATGCATGTTAGAAAAGACTCTAAAACTTGTTCTTTAATATAGAGAACAGTGAGTGGAAACAAAGAGGAAGTAAAAGAACAGAACTGAAAATTTCAAAAGGCAGCTCCAGAAGACAAAGTCAAGTATTACAATGAAATGTGCAAAGACCTGGAGGAGTTAGAAAACCAAAAGGAAAGAACACACTCAGCATTTCTTAAGTTGAAAGAACTGAAGAAAAAAATTCAAGCCTTGCCTTGCAATATTGAAAGATTCTATGGACCAAATATTGAATGATGCAGAAAATATCAAAAGAAGATGGAAGAAATACACAGCCACTGTACCAAAAATAAATGGTTGATGTTCAACCATTTCAAAAGGTAGCATATGATCAAGAAAAGATGATACTGAATTAAAAAATTCAAGCTGCAATGAAGGCATTGGTGAACAGCAAGTCTTCAGGAATTGACGGAATACAAATTGAAATATTTCAACAAACTGCTGCAGCATAGGAGGCACTCACTCATCTCTGCCAAGAAATTTGGATAACAGCTACCTGGCCAACTGATTGGAAAAGATCCATATTTGTGCCCATTCCAAAGAGAGGTGACCCAATGGAGTGAGAAAATTATCAAACAGTATTATTAATATAACATGCAAATAAAATTTTACTGAAGATAAATTAAAAACAGTTGCCAAAGCACATCGATAGAAAACTGCCAGAAATTCAAGCCAGATTCAGAAGAGGATGTGGAACAAGGGATACCATTGCTGATGTAAGATAGATCTTAGCTGAAAACAGAGAATACCAGGAAGATGTTTACTTGTACTTTATTAACTATGCAAAGGCTCATGAGTTAGCTATACAAAGACCAAGAGGAAATGTGTACGCCAAGGTTGTATCCTTTCACCATATTTACTTAATCTGTACGCTGAGCAAATAATCTGAGAAGCTGGATTATATGAAGAACATGGCATCAGGAATGAAGGAAAAATCATGAACAGCCTGTGATATGTAGATTATACAACCTTGCTTGCTGAAAGTGAAGAGAACTTAAAATTCTTACTGAGATAGATCAAAGACTAGACTTCCACATGAATTGAACCTCAATGTAAAGAAAACAAAAATCCTCACAATTGGGCCAATAAATAACATTATGATAAACAGAGAAATGATTAAAGTTGTCAAGGACGTCATTTTGCTTGGATCCACAATCAACACTCTTAGAAGCAGCAATCAAAAAAATCAAAGGATATATTGCATTAGGCAAATCTGCTGCACAAGACCTCTTTAAAAGGTTAAAGAGCAAAAATATCAGTTTGAGGGCTAAGGTGTGCCTGACTCAAGCCATGGTATTTTCAATTGCCTCATATGCATATGAAAGTTGGACAATGAATAAGGAATATCATAGAAGAATCAATGCATTTGATTTATGGTGTTGGATAAGAATATTTAAAGTACCATGGACTGCTACAAGAACAAACAAATTAGTCTTAGAAGAAATGCAACCAGAATACTCCTTAGAAACCAGAATGGTAAGACTTCTCTAGTTCTTTGGACATGTTATTAGGAGGTACAGTCCCTGGGGAAGGCATCATGCTTAAAAAAGTGGAGGGTCAGTAAAAAAGGGGAAGACTCCCAAGAAGATGGATTAACATAGTGGCGACAACAATGGGTTCAAACCTAATAACAATTGTGAAGATGGTGCAGGACCAGGCAGTGTTTTGTTCTGCTGTGGAAAGGGTTGCTATGAGTCAGAACCTAATAAAACCAAATAATCAACACCTATGGAAGCAGCGCCAGACTGCAAAGCTGTTTGAACTGCAAGGTTAGTGGTTCAAGCTCACCAGCTGCTCCTTGGAAACTCTATACAGGGTCGGAACCGACTCAACAGCACTTCACACAACATGGAAGCAGCAGTCCTACAAACCAACAATGGCCCAGCTACCATTACTGGACATTTTGATCATAGAAACTACAGAAGAGTCTTTATCAAAAATGGAAAAATGAAGAGAAGAATTCCAAATTCTCATACATTCCATATTCTAGAGTCATGGAGGCTACATAAAACCCTGAAACCATTGTCTAAGACAGTCTTTGAAGCCTAAACCAAAACATATCCCCTGAAATCTTCTGAAAACCAATTGTTTAGCTTAATTATTTAAAAAAAGACATCTGCTTTGAACGTTTTGAATCACTCTGGGATCAAAGTGACAGCAACTTGAAAGATTAGACAGGAACATTAGTGGTCAATGAGTTTGTCAATAGGGGAGGAACAACTAAGAAAGGGAGGGTGAGAATGGTTGTACAACCCATATAATGTTACTGAATTGTACATCTTGAAACAGTTGAATTGGTGTAAGTTTTGCTGTATATAATCTCAACAATACAATTTTAAAAAACAAATCAAAAGGTATATTGCATTGACAAATCACTGCAAAAGGTCTCTTTGTTGTTATTGTTGTAAAGTGTCATCAAGTCAGTTCCAACCCATAGCAACCCTGTATAGGGTTTCCAAGGAGTGACTGGTAAGCTTGAACCACCGACCTTGCAATTCAAATCGACACTGTAGTCCAGAGCATTAACCCACAGCACCACACCAGGACTCCTAAGGTCTCTTAAAGTGTTCTAAAACAAAGATGTCACTTTGAAGACTAAGGTGCATCTGACATAAGTCATGGTATTTTCAAGTACCTCATATGCATATGAAAGTTGAACAATGAATAAAGAAGACAGAAGAACTGATGCTTTTGAATTATGGTGTTGGTTAAGAATAGTGAATGTACCACGGGCTGCAGAAGAACAAACAAATCTGTCTTAAAGGAAGAACAGCCAGAATGTTCCTTTGATAGGAGGATGGCAAGACTGTTTTTCATGTACTTTGGGCGTGTTATCAGAAAGGACCTGGAGAAGATACATCATGCTTGGTGGTAAAGTAGAGGGTCCATGAAAAAGAAGACATTCATCAAGATGGATTGACATTGGTTCAAACAAACAAGACTGTGATGAAGGCATAAGACTGGGCAGTGTTTCATTCTGTTGTACAAAGGGTTGCTATGAGTCAACAGGCTTGACAGTAACTAAAAACAACAATAAAAATAAAAGATAAACCAATGCAAATTATAACATAACTCAAAATAAAACATCCAATATGCTTCAATTATAAAAAAAAAAGAGAGAGAGAGAAGAGCACAAGCGGAATGCAAGACCTTATCCAGAGAAGCAGCGACAACAGAGATGGAGGCAGAGATGGGGACATGGAGAAAGGGAGCAGCTGAGAACTCCAGATTCATGGGGAGAGAGGAACTAAGAATTGGTGGCCAGGGGCAGACTTGCAGAATGTGCTCTTTGGTGATGTAAATTATTATATATGCCTGAGTGTTTATTTAAAAAAAAAAAGAGCTAAAGAGAATCGAGAGAAATACTGCTATCTGATGGTACATGGAGGGGATTATCATAAGTGTAATGAAACAAGGTATATGATTTGTTAAATGTAAAACTGATGATCTGCCCTGTGAAGTTTCACTGAATTTACAATAAAAACTTAGGAAAAAAAAAAGAAATAAAAGATAAAATACCTCATGCTTTCCCCTACAGTTTGGATTATCTCATAATGAACAGGGAATATCTTCTCACTGGAAAGGCTTAGGACCTGGATCTACCACTAGGGTACCTCAGATTATCAAACAGTATTTAGTGAGGATACATAATTATACCCAGCATCCTCTGCAGAGAAGAAAGATTCAAACCCCTGGAAGATAGGATGAATGTAACTAAACTTACCTTGGAGAAATCACCAATCAGATGTCCCTGGTTAGAATCTTCCTCCATCATTTGAGTAACACTAATGTCACACAGAGAGACAGTCTTCTTTAGACCTAAGCCCTAAAATGACAAGACCCCTTTGTCATGCTAAAATATTTTAAAACCAGGGTATTGTAGGGGAATTGGAGGTTCATTCAAAATATGTATTCTTTTTTATTTAATCACTCTACTTGTTTCTCTAAGGTAATATATATATGCATAAAGATTTGGTACAAAGATAGATGCTTATAATAGAAAAAATTACTAATAAATAATCAAGAACAGGATCTTCTGAAAGAACATATATCAAGTGTTAATACTTATAGTAATTATCTCCAGCCTGTAGGATCATGGATAGTTTACATTTGCTTATTTTATTTTCCAGTTTTCTAAATATCACATAATGGTTTTATTTTAAAAAATTAAAATATCTTTTACTTTTTTTTATTTTTTTATTTTATCTTTTACTTTTATAGTTAGAGATACTCAGATTTTTTTAAGGGAGAGTGAGGAATGAAAGCTAAGTTTTTCATAAGTCACTTTCAACCAAGTCAGCCTGCTATATGATGATTTTTTAGATTACACGTAAACCTGCAATAACTATCCTTACCAAAGATCCCTTGTATGTTCTCAGGCCGTAAAATAAAGGTTGGAAAGAAAGTATGATGATGTCATTTCCAAAAGTATAATACGGAAATAGATTTGTTTTTGTTGAGTGTCACTGAATTGGTTCCAATTCATAATGACCCGTTATAGGGTTTCCAAGGAGTAGCTGATGGGTTTGAACCACTGACTTTTTGATTAGCAGTCAGGTGTTTATCTATAGCACCACACCAGGACTACTAAAATTAAATGTTCTATATATACATGTTATTGTTGTTGTTAAGTACCCTCGAGTCTCTTCTTACTCATAGAACCCTGTATAGGGTTTCTGAGGAGTGGCTGGAGGGTTTGAACTGCCGACCTTTCAGTTAGAAGTTCAGTGTTTATCTTACAATGTTACATCAGGACTTCCAAAGCCAGGCTTATTTTTGTTCTTCAAAGAAGAACTGCCAACCTTGCGGTTATGAATCCAGTTATTATCCTACAACACCATCAGGGTTCCTTATGTACATAGAAAAAGAAAAAAGAAAGATAAAAAGGACATAGATATAAAAGGAAAAATAATGAAGTTGAAAAAGATTTACTAGTGCAATTGCCATCCTTGAAAGGTAGAGAAGATAATGAGCTAGAAAATTAACAGATTCTCATCTTAAAGAATTCTTACTTTCCCAAATATGTTATAAGGCAGGAACAATCTTTTTTTTTTTACCTGATCTGGCATTAGGTTGTCCTTGAATTCTACCATCTGTTTCAGTCTTGGCCTGTTCAAATTCTCTGGCATCGAAGGAGACCGATATAGGTAGCTTCTGTTCAGAGATGCCTGTTTGGAAATATTAAACCCCTTAATTCTTACCCTCCAAGTGTATCTGCACACCACCAGCATTAACATCTTTAGGAGTTGGTTAAAAATGTAGAATCCCTGATGTTAAACCCACCCCAGACCTACTGAATTAAAATCTTCATTTTAATAAGATATTCAGGTTGATTCCCAGGAACACTCAAGTTTGAAGAAATAATGTCTTACGTGAGCACACTATCTTCCCTTTCTCATCGGACTGCATGATGCTCCATCTCCCCAAAATGTTTTACCTCTCTTCCAGACATATGATGAAAAATAAACCTAAGCCCTTTTTCTAATGGAAGCCTAGGACAATGACAGTTAGGATTTATGGAATCCAACCAAACTGAAGACAAGACAGCATAGAACAACATGCAATCTTTATTTCTTGTAACCCATAAAATGTTCTAGAACACACGATCATTGCTAAGCTCATTTAAATCAGAGTGTGGAATTATTTTGGAACTAACTGACACAATGCTAACACTGATATTGTGAGTTTTGAATAGGTCAATCATATGAATATAATTGAATTCATAATCAAATTAAAGCCTGAGTTGTAATATTATTGTTCCAGGTAAGACAAATTGAAGAGGAATGACATCACATTCATCTTTTTTTTTTTAAAAAAAGAACATTTCAAGATCTATCCTGAAGTACAATGCTGTTAGTGATATGATATTTATACTCCTATAAGGAAGACCAATTAATTAGACTATTATTCAAATTTACATACCAACTAGTAGTGCCAAAGATGAAGAAACAGATTTTTTACCAAGATCTACAGTCTGAAATTGATCAAACATGCAGTCAAGATGCATTCATACCTTTGTACACAGAATTGACAGGGACAGGCAACTTAGACACTGGCTACATAAAATGGGGGTGGAGTCTATAAAGGCATGAAGTGACTGGCTTACAAGTTTTCAAGAGGGAAGGTAGAATCCCCACTGAATAGTTTTCATCTTGTTTAGACAGGTCTGGTGAAAAGAGATGGGGATAAGATTCTTATGATTCAATAGTAGTAATTGTTATCATGACTAACTGCAATTGTCATAACTATAAAGGTAGAAGTTTTGTAACACAAAGGGGGGGAGTAGTTAATATTACATGCCAGGAACAGAGGACCCTAGGACCATCAAGGGAGAAAAGCATGAGGGGAATGTGGAACCCTATCCAGAAAAGCAGCAATATCAGAGATGGATGCAGAGGTGATGACATGGAGAGATAGAGCAGCTGAGGATTCTAGACTCATGGAAAGAGAAAGGTTGTGTGCTGGTGGCCAGGAGGCAGGCTTGCAGAATATGCTCTTTCATTGTTTAAATGATTATATATTCCTGAGTGTTTTTGTGTACTCCAAAAAACAACAGAGGGATTAGAAGCAAATACTGTTGAATGATGATGCATGGAGAGGATTGTAATCATTGCAATAAAACAAAATACAATAGGATAAGTGTGAAACTGATGTTCACTCTGTAAACTATCACTCAATTCACAATAAACACTTAAAAACAATAAAATAATGATTCAATGACTAAATATTTCAAGATGAATATCTACCTAGCCAATTGTCTACTACTAAATATTTTGTTTCCATTTTTTAAATACTAGAGTTTCTGTGAACATCTTTATACACTTTTTTCTGTATCATTTCCAAAGAACAGATACTGATAAGAATTTAAACTACTTGAAACATGTCATGAATCTTTGTAGATCATATGAGAAGACAAAATTCTTGTTTTGCATTTCTTGGTTTCTTCATAGATTGTGTACTAACAACATTTTCTTTTTTGGTTAATCACCTATTTATGTCAGTTGCCCATTTAATATTGCTATCTTAATGTTTTTCATATCAATCTATATAAGCTGTACAAAACAAAAATTTTACCTATATTTTTAGCAAAAATTGAAAAAAGAAAGATGCACTGATAATTACTAGAATTGGAATGTGAAAGTTGGAAATAAAGAAGGATCAGTACCTGGAAAATATGGCCTTGGTGATCGAAAAGATACTGGATATTGCAAGACCAACAATTTATTCATTGCAAATATCTATTTCAACAACACAAAAGGGGATTATATACTTGGACTTCACTGGATGGAATACATAAAAATCAAACCAACTACATTTGTAGAAAGAGACGATGGAGAAACTCAATATCAGCAGTCGGAGATTTGTTAGAGGCCAACTATAGAAAAGACAATTAATTGCTCATATGCAAGCACAATTCGAATATGAAAAAAAATTCAGGAAGTCCATGACAGCCAAGGTACAACTTTGTGCATATCCCACCTGGGTTTAGATACCACCTCAAAAACAGATTTGATGCAGTGAACACTAATAACTGAAGACCAGATAAGGACATCATGTATTAATTACTAAAATGTCATTAAAAAGGACAGGAAAGAAATTACTAAGTGGATGTTAGAAGAGACTCTAAAACTTGGTCTTGAACATAGAGTAGCTAAGACAAACTGAAGAAATGATGAAGTGAAAGAGCTGAACAGAGATTTCAAAGGGCAGCTTAAGACAAAGTAAAGTATTATCATGAAATGTGCAAAGACCTGGAGTTAGAAAACCAAAAAGGAAGAACACGCTTAGCATTTCTCAAATTGAAAGAACTGAAATAAAAACTCAAGCCTTAAGTTGCAATATTGAAGGATTCTATGGGCAAAATATTGAACAGCACAGGATGTAACAAGAGCAGATGGAAGGAATACACAGTCACTATACCTAAATGAATAGGTAGACAAATGTCTAACCATTTCAGGAGGTAGCATATGATTGAGAACAAATGGTACTGAAGGAAGAAGTCCAAGCTACACAGAAGGCACTGGTGATAAACAAGGCTCCAGAAATTGATAGAATTCCAATTGAGAAGTTTCAACAGATGCAATGATGGAGGTGTTGCTCTATGCCAAGAAATTTGGAAGGGAGTTAACAGGCCAACCTACAGCAAGAAATCCATATTTGTGCTCATTCCAACAGAAAATGGAAATTACTGAACAGTATCATTAATATCACATGCAAGTAAAAATTTGAAGATAATTCAAACATGATTGCAGCCGTACATCTACAGAGAACGGCCAGAAATTTTAGTTGAATTCAGAAGAGGAACAAGGGATACTATTGCAGATGTTAGTTAGATCTTGCATGAAAGCAGAGATTACCAGAAAGATGCTTACTTGTTTTATTGACTATGCAAAGGCATTTGACTATATGAATAATATAAAAATTATGGATAACATTATGAAGAATAGGGATTTCAGAACACTTAATTGTGCTTACGCAGAACCTGTACATAGACCAAGAGGCAGTTGTTCAAACAGGGTTGAACCATTTCACCATACTTATTTATCTGTATGCTGAGCAAAAAATCTGAGAAGCTTGATTATATGAAGAAGAACATGACATCAGGATTAGAGGAAGACTCATTAACAATTGCAGATGACACAACCTTATTTGCTATAAGTGATGAGAATGAAGCACTTACTGAGAAGGTCAAAGACTAGTCTTCACTCTGGATTACACCTCACCATAAAGAAAACAAAAATCCTCACAAGTGGAGCCATAAGCAACATCAAGATAAATGGAGAAAAGACTGAAGTTGTCATTTCAACTTACAAGGATTTCATTTTACTTGGTTCCACAATCAACACCCATAGAATCAGCAGTCAAGAAATCAAACAACATATTGTATTGGGCAAATCTGCGCAAAAGACCTCTTTACAGTGTTAAAAGCAAAGATGTCACTTTTAGGACTAAAGTATGCCTGAAGTGCCTCATATGCATGTGAAAGCTGGACAATGAATAAGGAAGACTGAAGATGAACTGATGCCTTTGAATTATGGCTGTTAACAAAGAAAACTAAATATATCACAGGCTGCCAAAATGTACCAAATCTGTCTTGGAAAAAGTACAACCAGATGTTTCTTAAAAGTGAGGATGGTGATCGGTACATACACATATGGAATACTATGCAACACTGAAGAGTAACAATGAATCTGCAAAACACCTCATAACATGGATGAAACTTGTGGACATTATGCTGAGTAAAATTAGTCAATCACAAAAGGACAAATATCTTATGAGACCAGTATTATAAAAAGTCAAGAAAAGTTTTTTAAAAATTACTGAGAATAGTGAGACTTTGTTTTACATACTTGGGAGACGGTATCAGAAAGGGCCAGTCTATGGAGAAGGACATCATGCTTGGTAAAGCAGAGAGTCAGCAAAAAAGAAGAAATCCCTCAACAAGATGGGTTTAAACAATGGTTTAACAAAGGGCTAAAACACAGCAACTATTGTGAGAATGGTGCAGGACCGGAGGTAAATACTGTTAACTGATGGTGCATTGAGGGGATTGCGATCATTGTGATGAAGCAAAGTATATGATTTGCTAAGTGTAAAACTGATGACCTGCTCTATAAATCTTCATTCAATTCATAATAAAAAGTTTTCAAATAAATCACAAATCATTAAGATTATACTAATTTCCAAGGTGTGTCATTTCAAGGAGTCCTAGTGCAGTGTTGTAAGATAAGCACTCAATCTCAAAGTAGGCTTGAACTGTACGGTCGGTGGTTCAAATTCACCAGCTGCTCCTTCGAAACCCTATACAGGGTCACTATAAGTCAAAACAGACTCGGTGGCACTTAACAACAACAATTTCCAGTTCACATCAAAGAGGTAATAAACCACAACCAAAAAAAATCTCTACTCTTTTTCTAGTCTTAAAACTTACTATATATATGCTATTTATACAGTGGTCACTCAATTGAAAAATGACTTTGAAAAGAGTCACAATCTAAGAAAATGAGCCCACTCTTGTTGTTATCAAAGTGCCATTGAGTCAGTTCCAAGTCATAGTGACCCTGAATAGGGTTTCCAAGGAGCGGTCAGTGGGTTTGAACCGTCCTTATCCTACAGAGCAACATTAGGACTCCAGTGACCCTGAAAAGGGACTTAATATTTTTTCAAAGTCAACAAAATAAACACTTAACAACCCTATGCCATTTTTCTGTCTTCACAAAACTGAAACAAAACAAAAATTCCAGACTATTTCCTAGGGTCAGTCTATTTTAAATACACTCTCTAAAGGAGCCCTGGTAGTGTAGCGGGTTAAGTTTTGGTCTGCTAACCACAAGATCAGCAATTCAAACCCACCAGCCTCAGAAACTCTATATAGGGTTGCTATGACTCAGAATCAACTCAGTGGTAGTGAGTTTTTGGTTTTTAAAGTGAATAAATATATAAAAGTATCATAGAGCCTCCCTTTCTGATTCTTAAGTGATGTTATCCTGTATGTATTCACTTCATGATCAGCCTCATCAGTGGCTATCATTCCTTCTTCATACTCTCTGCTTTTAAACTTACATAGCCATTGTTGTTGGTAAGTGCTGCTGAGTCAATTCTGACTCATAGTAACCCCGGATAGGATTTCCAAGGAGAAGCTGGTTGGCTTGAACTGCCAACTCTGTGGTTTGCAGTCCATTGCTGATCCTATAGGGCCACACCAGGAGTCTACATCGTCATTGTTGTTGTTGTTGTTGTCAGGTGCCATTGAGTCAGAACCTACTCATAGCGACACCATGCACAGCAGAACAAAACAATGTCCGATCCTGGGCCAACCTCACTACTGCTGCCAAACTTGATGTCATCAATGATGCCAACTGGCCGATCCATCTCGTTGGGGGTCTTCCTCTTTTTCTCTGACCCTCCATCTTACCCAGCATGACATCCTTCTCCAGCGACTGTTCCCTCTGGACAATATGTCCAAAGTATGAGAGACGAAGCTTAGCCATCCTGGCCTACAAGGAGCACTCTGTCTGCACTTCTACCAAAACAGATCTATTGGTTCTTTTGGCAGTCCATGGCACTTTTAGTATTCTCCTCCAACACCACAATTCAAAGGCATCATTTCTTCAACGATCTTCCTTATTCACTGTCCAGCTTTCCTATCCATGAGGCTATCGAAAATACCATGGCTTAGGTCAGGCGCACCTTAGTCCTCAAGCTGACATCTTTGCTCTTCAACACTTTAAAAAGTTCCTGTGCAGCAGATTTGCCTAATGCAATACGTCGTCTGCTCTCTTGACTGCTGCTTCTGCGAATGTTGATAGTTGATCCAAGAAGAATGAAGTCCTTGACAACCTCAATCTTTTCTCCGTTGATAAGAATGTTGTTTATTGCTCCAGTGGTGAGGATTTTTGTTTTCTTGACATTGAGATGCAATCCATACCGAAGGCTGTGTTCCTTGATCTTCATTAGTAAATGTTTCAAGTCCTCTTCACTTTCAGCAAGCAAGGTTGTATCATTTGCATATCGCAGGTTGTTAACTAGTCTTTCTCCAATTCTGATGCCACGCTTTTCTTCATAGAATCCAGCTTCTCGTATTATTTGCTCAGCATACAGGTTGAATAAATATGGTGAAAGAACACAACCTTGTGGCACAACTTTCCCAATTTTAAAATATTCAGTGTTCCCATGCTCTGTTCGAACAACTGCTTCTTGGTCCAGGTACAGATTTCTCAGAAGTACAATTATGTGTTCTGGAATACTCATACTTCTCAATGTTGACATTAGCCTTCATTTTTTCCTCTATGCAGATGGCCCTGAATTGTATATGTCCATCCCCCAAGGTTCCTCGTGAAGTAATTCCATTCAAATTTACTGTCCTAATCTCTAAATCAAGTGTCTAAATAGAAAATACCTTATTTTCTCTGAATTCATACTTTTAAAATTTATTATTGAATCACCATTTCTCTGTGTTGTTGTTAAGTGTCATCGAGTCAATTCTGGCTCATAATGACTCCTGTATACAGTTTCCAGGCGCTCTGGTAGCGAAGTGGTTAGAAATCAGGCTGCTAACCTCAAGGTCGGCAGTTCAAAACTACCAGCTGTTCCGCAGGAGAAAGATGAGGCGTTCTGCTCCCATAAAGATTTGCAGCCTCAGAAACCCTGTGCAGGGTCACTATGAGTCGGAACTGACTCCACGGTACTCAACAACAACAACATAGGGTTTCCAAGGAACAACTAGTGGGTTAGAACGACCGACCTTGCAGTTAACAGTTCAGTACTTATCCTACACACCAGGACTTCTTTCTCTGTGTTACTCAGGTTAAAGTGAAAAGTAGTACTCTCCCCTACACTTTTAAGTTCTTGTTTTATATCATCTTGTTATTCATAGCAAATGAAAATACCATGGCTTGTATTACCCATACCTTAGTCCTAAAGTCACTCTGTAAAACATTTAAGAAGATCTGCTTTTTAGCACTTAAAATGTTCTTCTGCAGCAGATTTGCCCAATGCAATATGCTCTTTGATTTCTTGGTTGCTGCTTCCATGGGCATTGATTGGGGATCCAATTAAAATTAAATCTTTGACAATTTCAATCTTTTTTCAATTTTTCATGATGTCATTTATTGGTCCAATAGTGAGGGGCTTTTGTTTTCTTTATGTCCTGTCCCCCATGAGTGACCCTGCTGTTATTTGAAACAGCAGTGGTATCGCTTTCAGCATCACAGCAACATGGAAGCCACCAAGCAAACTGACAGATGAGTGGTGGCTACTTACTAATTTTTATTAATAATGATAAAGTAGGTCAAGTATTACAACTGTTTTCAATCCTGTATCATGTTCACAACAACTGTATTGAGGATGTATTTTTATTATTATTTTATAAATGAGGAAGCTGTAGGATAAGCACTGGACTACTAATCACAAAGGCAGAGGTTGAAACCCACCATGTGCTCCTTGGAAACCCTACAGGGTTGCTATGAGTCTGAACTAACTCAAGGTAAAGTGGCTTGCTCAAGCTCAGGCTAGTAAATAAGAGAACGACGACTAAAATCCAAGTGTTTAAACTCCACTACACCATTTTTGTCTTGTAAGATGAATATAATATTTAAAGTACACATCCTACCACACACTTGTTTCAAAGAAATGAAGTTGATATAAGATGCTAAATGTCCCAGAAATTATCTTTCACATACCAATAAGGTCAGTAAGCCATAGGCTTCACATCTTCTGGGATTGGAAGGATAAAAGTAGATAAAGGAATACATTGTAAAATACTTTTATCATTCCTCAAAAAGTTAAACATAGACTTACCAGCAATTCCACTCCTAGGTTTTATCCAAAATAGCTGAAAACAGGTACTCAAACAAATTTATATGTGCCAACGTTAACAGCAACACTGTTCACAATAACCAAAAAGTAGGAATAACCCCTAAGTTCATTAACTGATGAAAGGATAAATTATGATAAATACATACAATTCAAAGGAGCTCTGGTAGCATAGAGGTTACAAATCGGGCTGCGAACCTTAAGGTCAGCAGTTCGAAACTACCAGCTGTTCCACGGGAGAAAGATGAGGCTTTCTGCTCCTGTCAAGATTTACAGCCTCGGAAATCCTGTACAGGTCGCTATGGGTCGGAACCGACTCGACAGCACTTAACAACAACAACATACAATTCAACCATGAAAAGAAATAAAGTTAAAAGATGAATGAACCTCAAAAATGTGGCTAAATGACAGAAGTAATACACAAAAGGTCACATATTATAAACTTCCACTTACATGACATATTCAAAATAGGCAAATCCTTACAGATACATATACCTAGATATATAGTTAGGGGCTAGGGAATTGGGAGAGTAAGGACCAATTGCTTTAATGGCTATAGTTTTCTTTGGGAGTAATGAAAATGTTTTGATATTAAAGAGATGTTGTTTGCACAACAGTGTGAATGTACTAACACCACTGACTTACTTATACACTTTAAAATGGTTAATTCTGTTATGTGAATTAGACCTCAATTTTTTTTAAAAAAGGAAGAATGCAACTATTTCCCTGAGATAATCTTTAAACTAAAAACATTTCCTGAAGTCTTCTTAAAACCAAACAATAGTTTAGCTTAACTACTAAAAAATGTCTGCCTTGAGCATTAGATAATCTTTTAAAAACTATATGGAAGTTCAAGCTCACCAGCTGCTCCTCAGAAACCAATGGCAACTTGATAGCTAAGGAAACTTAGGAGGCAGAGAGAATGGCTGCACAACTCTAAGAATATAATCAATGTTAGTGAAGTGTATATGTAGAAACAGCTGAATTGGTATATGTTTTGCTGTATATAGACTCAACAACAACAAAAAAAAAACCTTAAAAAGCCAACTGCCACACCTTTCTCCCACAGAGTAGCTGGTGAGTTTGAACCACTGACCTTTCAGTTAGCAGCTGAACACTTAGCCACTGCACCACCAGGGCTCCTATATATTCTCAACAACAAAAATAATGAAAAGAGAAATACATCACAAAACACCTGGAAGATCATGCTAGGAATATCCCATCCACTATTATTATCTGAAGGAGTCACTTATACCAGATTACATTGATGAGTCCTGGGTCTACTCAAATTATTAACTGGAAGGTGCTCACTTAGTAGTAGGAATATTCACAGGGAGACCTGACACCTTATTGGTGGGTAGCTCATAGAGTATAGGGATTATGTCTTCTTAATCTCTTCATCTCTTCAGTCCCAGCACTTTATATGGTGGCTGGAACATAACAGACTAATAATATTGCTTGTCCAAGAATGAATGTTTACAGGGTCGCTATGGGTGGGAACCGACTCAATGGCACTTAACAACAACAACAACAAGAATAAATGAATGTGAAGAAAGCAGAGACCACTCTACCTTGGCATCTTCTTGATCTTCCAGTGAAAACTCCATCAAATCATGTGAAATATCTTCTATCTGGAATTCTAGTTTTGGATTTTCATTCCGTTTTGGAAGTATAGTAATGGGACTGCCCAAATCTGTCATTTCATTTTCCAATAAGTTCCGATTGTCCTATCAAGTAGATCAACAACATTAAAAACCAACCAATAGTAAACCATATTCCAGAACTTCATTCCTCCCCAGAAACAGAAAACCTAAAATATGACCAATTTATTTACTTAGGTTAGGATATGTTACAATGGCTTTCTCATATGGATGAGAATAACACCAACAATACATATCCCTGGAGCATCTTGAAGCCATGGTTTGTGAAAAGCACGTGAGTACATGAGTGAACCAAAAGCTAAAATGGGCAAAGGTTACAATCACTCACTAGAAGGAATATACACAGCTAATATTGAAATAAAATCACTACTAGTTACTTTCCCTGTGAAATAAAATGTTTACTTATATAATTAGCAACTGTTAAACAAGGAGAAAGGAGCTCTGGTAGCATAATGGTTATGAATCGGGCTGCGAACCACAAGGTCAGCAGTTTGAAATCACCAGCTGTTCCATGGGAGAAAGATGAGGCTTTCTGCTCCCGTCAAGAATTACAGCCTCGGAAACCCTGTACAGGGTCGCTATGAGTCGGAACCGATTCCATGGCACATAGCAACAACAACAACAAAACAAGGCGAAGGCATCCCATAAGCTATAGATTATTCATCAGAATATAAATTCTTACAACTTTTTGGGAAAGATATTTGACAGTATGTATCATATTCTTTATCTACACTCTTGACCAAGAAATGTTAATGCTTACTACCAATTCTAAGAAAAAATATCTAAAATATAGGCAGATTTATTTTCAAGAATATACATTATTGTATTATTTATAAAAGCAAACTTTGGATACTACTAAGTATCCAACAAAAGGGAAAAGCTTATGTAAATTATAGTCCATTCATTAGAATAAAAGCATGCATTAAAAACATTAAACAAGAGCTTTTAATATAGTATATAAAAATGATATGTGTAGTAGGACCTCAATGTGAAAATGTAAAGTGAAAACATGAAACAAAACAAACAAAAAATGAGTTAAAATGTTAGCAGTGTTTTTTTTTTTTATGTGTTATTTTCCTTTTTATACTTGTATATGTTAATATATATTAACATCTTCATAAAAGGTATATAGTTCTTTTAAAAATCAGGGGGATAAACAGAGAAATATATAGATGGAGAAAAGAACAGGACTAAGAAATTTTTCTTCACTTTAGGTTTAACCAAATAAAATGATCAGAGGGCATGGGCTTTCCCTCTTTCTCAGCTCAAAATTTACTTATCCCACCTCTTTTCTCACCTAAATCAGCTTAGAAAAATTAAAAGGTCATAAACCAGATCTGCCATTCACCTTTAGTTGTTGTTAAGTGCAGTCGAGTCAATTTCCATTCATAGTGACCCTGTATAGGGTTTCCAAAGAGTGGCTGGTGAGTTGGAATGGAAAACGACACTGGCTGGAGAAAAAGCAGTGTCAGTAGGCCACGCCAAAAACATTTCATCTGATTAAGCCATGAGTAATCCGCATGAAAGGAGCTCTGGTAGCATAGTAGTTATAAATTGGGCTGCTAACCTCAAGGTTGGCAGTTCGAAACTACCAGCTGATCCGCTGGAGAAAAATAAGACTTTCTGCTCCCATAAAGATTTACAGTCTCGGCAACCCTGTGCAGGGTCACTATGAGTCAGAACCGACTCCACAGTACTTAACAACAACAACCCTCATGAAACATATTAAAGGTCATCAAACTGACCCCATATCCTGAAGATACAAATTACAGTTTGAATTTTATATATATGTAGATTTGCTTTGGAGAATGCTAATTTTATGATCACAAGCAAAACGAACATAGAAAGGAAGGGCATTCAGACTGAGGAGGAAATGGTGAGATTTAAAATCTGATCATAAAAGGAGAGTAAAAGGGCAGTACTAAACCTAAAGAAAAAGCTGATTAGAACACCCCAAAACATGGGCCTATCTTAGTCAATGTTAGAAAAGAACTACAATCTTATGGATACTAACCTGGCATGGGGAAAGGGGGACAAAGGGAAAAGAAAAAGATGGCTAGAAAAGGGGATTAGTTGAAGGGATTAGTTAGAGGATTATTTTAGTGATTAGGTGACTCTGGAGGGACCAGTTTTAACTTGGAATCAAAGGGCAGCCTATGGCTTAGACCAAAAAGGACCATGGTTTTCTTAGAATCGAGGCTAAGAAGCTAGACTAGGGTGAAAGGAGAAGAAACTAACAGATATCAATTTATATGAGAAGCCATGCAAGGAACTGATGAACAAATTATGCATGCATAATTCCCCCTTTCTGTTACAAAAACAAACAAAAAGCCCTCCTAAATCCCTTACACTACAGAAACAGATTTTTGTTTTCAAAACGATCAACTGAGCATGAGTAATAATGATGACCTGCTACGCATGAGTTGGAACTAGGTACTGTTCTAGGGTCAAAGCTTAAGAAGAAAACAAGCAACATTGTTCACACAGGAATGCTGTTCCTTTGTCTAGCATACTGAGATTTAAATAGCTCTTTGTCTCATACGGAGTCCCAGGGGTGGGTTCAGATGTGAAGGTCTGGTGATCTACTTCTGAAAGGTCACAGCCTTGAAAACACTAAGGAGCAGTTCTGCTCTGCTCACACAGGGTGGACATGAGTAGGAATCAACTTGGCGAAACAAGTGTCTTCTAATGATAAGAATACGTTTCTCCAGCCAAAGGAAGAGAACTGTTATTATATGTTGTTGTTAAGTGGCATGGAGTCAGTTATATATATGTATAGGGTTTCCGAGGAATGGCTGGTGGGTTTGAACTGCCGACCTTACAGTTAGCAGTCCAGTGTTTATCCTACAATGTCACATCAGGACCCCTAATGTGTTTTTGTTGTTGTTAAGTACTGTCAACTCTGCATAGTGACCCTGTATAGTGTTTCAAAGGAGTAGCTGGTGGATTTGAACCAACCTTTTGGTTAATAATCTAGTGCTTATCCTACAACATCACACCAGAACATTGATGACTTACATTTTTTTTATTTGTAGATGAATTACACACTGCATCTTTCTTTCTGTGACCATGGTCCAAAGAATTCGGAGTGCTACACATCAGTTGTGCCTATAAGAGAATTTTCTGAGACTAGCTAGCATCCTTGAGCCACAGGTGAATGGGAAACCCTCTTCCTCCACACCCCAAACAAACCCAAACCCAAAACAAGGGGCTACTCACTGGGCTGCCTTTTATAAGATGCTGATGATGATTCCTGCAGATCAAAACAAATTGCCAGTCAGCAAAGCCCCAAATATTATTTCCATTATTCTTCAGTGGCTTAGAACAGCCCAACTTTTGCTTTCTTCCATTGTAGGAGCCCAACACCTAGTTGATAAAGCTCTTCCAAAACTAGTAATTAGGGTATTTTCTGTGGTAAATATAAAGATTTTAAGTGACAACATGGGATAAGACCTGTCTCACTTATCTAGTGCTGTTATAATAAAAATACCATAAGTGGGTGACTTTAACAAATTTATTCTCTCATAGTTTAAGTGCTGTAGTGTTCTGAATCATAACAGCCATGTATAAGGTTTCCGAGGAACGACTATTGAGTTTGAAGCACCAACCTTGTGATTCAAACCAACCTTGTGGTCCAGTGCTTTATCCTACAGCGCCACACCAGGACTCCTCTCATAGTTTGCTATGTTAAGTGCCATTAAGTTGGCTTTGACCCATAGTGACCATGTATAGGGTTTCTGAGGAACGGCTGGTGAGTTTGAACTACCAACCTTGCAGTCCACACCAGGACTCCTCTCATAATTAGTTGTTAAGTGCTGTAGAGTCGGTTCCAACCCATAATGACCCTGCATAGGGTTTCCAAGAAACAGCTGGTAAGTTTGAACCACCAACCTTGCAGTTCAAACTGACTTTGCAGTCCAGCACATTAACCCACAGTGCCACATCAGGACTAAACCTCTAGAAATCTGAAGTTAGGGTGTAGGCTCAAGGAAAAGTCTCTCTGTTGGCTCTGAGGGATGGTCCTTGTTCCTTAGTGATCTTCATGTGGTGTGGCATCTTTCTTCCTCCAACTCTACTTGCTTCTCTGTGCCTAATCTGTTCTTTTTATATCTCAGAGAGGTTGATTTAAAACATACCCTATACTTGTTGTTGTTAAGTGCTGTCAAGTAAGTTCTGACTCATAACAACCCTGTGTAGGGTTTTCAAGGAATGGCTGGAGGGTTTGAACTGCTGACCTTGTGGTTAGCAGTTCAGTGGTTATCCTACTAAGCCAAACCAGGACTCCATAATTATCACAACAAAGAGAATCCATTCCCAAATGGTATTGTAACCACAGATGTCGTTATTGTTAGTGCTATAGAGTGAGTCCACTTGCTGTTGTTAGGTGCCATCAAATTGTTTCTGACTTATAAAGACCTTTCCGTTTTAGAAGAAATGCAGCAAGAGTGCTCCTTGGAGGCCAAGATGACCAAACTCTGTCTCTCATACTTCGGACATATTGTCAGGAGGGACCAGTCGCTGGAGAAGGATATCATGTTTGGTAAGGTGGAGGGTCAGAGAAAAAGAGGAAGACCCCCCAACAAGATGGATTAGCCAAATGGAAGCATCGATGGACTCAAGGGTGGCAACAGTGGTGAGGTTGGCCCAGGATCAGGCAGTGTTTCGTTCTGCTGTGCATAAGGTCGCTAAGGGTCAGTAACAACTCAATAGCACCTCACAACAACAACAACATGTACAATAGAACAATACACCACCTGGTCCTGTATCATCCTTGTAATTGTTATGTTTGAGCCCATTGTTGCAGTGACCTGTATGTTTTCCAAGAAGCAGCTAGTGGGTTTGAATCACCATCCTTGTGGTTAGCAGTCCCATGTTATCCTATAGCACCACACCAGGACCCCAACCATAGGTATGGTGGTGGTGGTGGCGTGCCGTGGAGTTGGTTCCAATTCATAGCAACATTGCATAGGATTTCCAAAGCTGTAAATCTTTACAGGAACAGAAAGCCTCATCATTTTCCCACAGAACAGCTGGTAGTTTCAAACTGCTGACCTTGAGGTTAGCAGCCCAACTCATAACCACTATGCTACCAGAGCTCCTTAACCACAAGTATAGAGTAAGGATTTATAGCACATTTTTGTCAGATACAATTCAAACCATAACAAGGCCCTTATTTCACTTATATAACCATTTATACAAATATGCATCAAAGATGAATGAGTCTCATCTTCTTCACACATAAACATGGTTATTTACTTTGAATTGCAGTAGTAACTACAATTGGTTAATATATATGGAGTCCTGGTGTGGTGATGTAGGATCAGCACTAGACTGCTAACTACAACGTTGGTGTTTCAAACCCACCAGCTGTTCCTTGAAAACCTATAGACGGTTGCTATGAGTCAGAAGTAACTCAACAGCACTACAACACCATATATGAGTGGCCTTCAAAACGTTTGTGAAAAAATGTAACTAAAAGACAATGGAATTTTTCTGCAAACTTTTTGAAGCTTCCTCCTATAATTTTTATGGATCTCTATAAAAGAGCTTCTAGGATTTGACTTGAGTTCTTAAGACTTTCATTCAGTCTACACTTTTAGCAATTAAAAAAAAAAAATGAAAGCAATATAAAGTGACATTCTCACATATCATGAAAACTGCCCCCACCCCCCCATTGTATTAAAGTGGTATCTAATTCACCTAAAGCACGGAAGGACAAAATTCCAAAAATCTTAAAACAGCTAAGGAAAACTTAACTTTAAATTGAAATATGTTATATTAAAATTAATTTGCATTCCTTTAGTATTCCCTGACTAAACATGGTAAGATCTCCAACAAAGAAGCCATTTAATAATGAAAACATTATAAAATGTGCTAGACACATTTTCATTTAATCCTTACAATAATTGTTGATTAGAAAGTTTATCACTAACTCCATGCTATTGAGGTCCAATGAAATTAAAACATTTGTCCAGAGTCCCAGCTAATGAAACAGTAAACCACTGGACTACACACGGACTCCACAGTCCATACTCTGCAATCTCAACCACTAAGATATACCAGGGTAAGTCAAAAGGTATTGCTACTAGGGTTCTAGTTCACACATCACAGGTTTATTCTAAACAAAATGTGTTTAAAGATGTCTTTGTGATTAATGGATGGCTGCTAAGAAGCTCTCTTAGTAATTAACACTTGTCTTAGTCTTATTAAGGTGCCTTCAAAAAAAAAGTCCAATCAAAATGGGGATTTATGGGACCAGTTAAATTCAAGCCAGAGAAGTCAGCTCAGAAGGTTATGGTGAATTTTTTGTGGGGGTGGATTCCAAAGGGGTCATCTTGGTATTTTCTCAGAGGACACAGGATGATAATGGGAGCTTATATGGAAGAAGTTTTAAGAAAACTGGAAACTGCATTAGTGAGAAAAGGGCCAGGAAATGAATCTGCTCATTTTTTGATAGTAGCAAGGGTTGTACTATGAGAATTTTGTTGGGAAAACAGCCCATTCACCCTACAGCTCAGAACTTGCCCCTTACAATTTCTTTTTGTTTCTAAAACTCAGAGAACATTTAAGAGGACCACAATTTGAGTTCTTTGAAGATACCAAAATTGCTGTCTTGATGTGATATAAGTCCAAGAGTGCCAAATTTTTCAGAGAAGGTTTAGAGATGGAAATACCACCTTCAGAAATGTATAAACCCAGATGGAGGATATATTAAGAAACAAAAAATATTTTAATATTTTTGTTTAATAAAGATTTCTATGATTTTGCAATACTTTTTGACTTACCCTAGTAGCACCTCTCACATGCAAATAAAAGTCTACACTTAAGCACAGTACATCATTTTCTATTATTTTTAAAGATAACACTAATTGTAAGTAACAATTAAAATGAATAACCTTCATTTTCACAATACTCATATGCATGTAAAAGTTGGATAGTGGAAAAGGAAAACCGTAGAAGAATTGACGCATTTGAGTTATGGTGTTGGAGAACATGGGCTGCCAAAAGAACAAACCAATCTGTGTTGGAAGAAGTAGTCTGATCGCTCCTTGGAAGCCACGATAGCCATACTTCATCTCTCATAGGTCAGACATATTAGCAGGAGGGACCAGTCCTGGCGAAGGATATCATGCTTGGTAAAGTGGAGCATCAGAGAAAAAGAGGAAGACCCCAACAATATGGATTGGCACAGTGGCAGCAGCAACAATACATAACAACAATTGTGAAATTGGCACAGTACTGGGCAGTGTTTTGTTCTGTTGTGCATATGTTGTTGTTGTTAAGTGCCTTCGAGTCGGTTCCGGCCCATAGCGACCCTGTACAGGGTTTCTGAGGCTGTAAATCTTTACCGGAGCAGAAAGCCTCATCTTTCTCCAGCGGAACGGCTGGTAGTTTCGAACTGCTGGCCTAAAGGTTCGCAGCCCGATTCATAACCACTACGCATACAGGGTCACTAAAAGTCAGTACTGACTCAATGGCATCTAACAGCAACAACAATCTCGTTCTGAGCAACTTAGAAGTCTGTCAGGAAAAGAATTTAGGTCTGGCAGCCCCATTTGTACCAAAAGTACACTGTATTCTGCAGTGTCGGCACAGGATCAGATCCCCATAATCAGTGTTGAAAAGGCTTAAACATGGGGGTAATTCAACAGAGGAACTTACACCCCAACTAACTGTATTTCTTGCAGTCCTGATGAATCCAAATGACCTGTAATCAGATACAAAGCATTAATAAAAAGTTATTGTTGTCCATGTACCCCGTCTTTCCTTCTAGTCTTCTTCATTAGAAAACCACACTTTTTTTTTTTCTTTAAGCTTAATGTTTAAACACATAGGCTCCCTATTGTTGTTACTAAGTGCTGTCGAGTCAGTGCTGACCCATAGTGACCCTGTACAGGGTTTCCGAAGAGCAGCTGGTGAGCTTGAACCACACCAACCTTGAGGTTCAAACCAGTTTTGCAGTCCAGTATATTAGCCCACAGCACAACACCAGGACTCCTAGCCTCCCTATAGGTACCAATATTCATGGAAACTTAATTTACATATGTCACTGAAAGAAAAATTACTGAGACGCAATATACTATGGAGACTTTCAGAAATAGAAAAGAAAGCTTATCATTCCGAAAATTTGCAATCAGAACAAGTACTAGGATTACTAATTTATGAAACATATTCCTTTTCAGGCACAGACCCATAAAAACACATAAATCTTAGTTGACAAAGCTATTTCTTTATGTTAATTTTTCTGCCTATGCTGAGATTAGACTAGGGCACACAAATTCTCATCGTAACTACTATACTTTCATTCCCACCAATCAGTCAACAAAATATTCCTTCTAGAATAACTTCTTCAAATACAGTGACTTCTATTAATGCTATTATCCTTTTCTTCCTACTCATTCTCCTCAGAAATCCTCTAGTCACCCAAATGATTGTAACTTCTGTCTATTTTCACCATCTCTCTCTCTGTCGTATTAGCATGTTCTCGCCCTTATTCTTCCCACTGAGGTCTTTACTTCCCTTCTCCCTACCGGTTTCACCAGAGTCTGCAGAAGTGGTAAGCTGAGTTGAAGGCATGGTAGACATCTCCACATTGCTAAGATTCGAAAGATCAAGGCAACATTTTGGGGTTCCGCTGTCAAGACATAATAGAACATCAAATTTTCCATTAGGCTATAATATCCTTAAAGGGAAAGACTATCATTCTCACTTGCAACACTCCTCAGTAACCCACTGCCTTTGAGTCAGTAGAACTGCTCCATTGGGTTTCCAAAGTTGTAAATATTCACAGGAGCAGAGAGCCTCATCCTTCTCATGTGGAAGGACTGGTGGGGTTGAACCAACGCCTTTGGGTTAACAGTCTAATGCTTAACCTAATGTGTCACCAGGACTTCTCTGGTAAAATAAAAGATGATTATTCCCTTATCACAGAGAAGCTGGAAGCTCAAAAAGGGTTACAATCAAATCCTTTTAAGGCCAGTAGTTTTTATAAACAAATAACAACAAACTGTTTCGATGAACAGAAGATAACGTGTAAAAATGAAAGTGGATTTACCCAGAAAAAATGCTTAAGTTTCGAGAATCACCAAAAACTTTGTTCATTGGAGTTCTAGGGAGATCTGGATAAACGGTAAATGAAGTTTCTCTTTCCAGCAGCAGGTTTAGCCTCTTCCTCCTACTGGATCTAAAACTGGGCCCTGAGCCAGAGCTTCCCTCCTCTTTTGTGGATGAGAAGAGATTTGCAGACATGGTCTCCGAGTGCTCACCAAGAAAATACAAAACCTATATAGGAGAAGGTTATCACATAGATGCATCACCGGTACATCACAGCTTTCACAACAACCTCCCCCACCCTTTCCAGTAACAGTCAAGTGGACCATTATTGGAGGAAAGGCATCTTCCAACGGTGGAACTTAACTTACCGAGAGAGGCAACGCAGGACTTTAAAGATGGAATGAACAAGCTTTGACTTGTTCACGAATCCTGACAGGAACTCGAGTCTTCCATTCGCGATGCCTATCACATCAGCAGGACTGTTGTTTGCAGGGGCCCCGGCTGGACCCGCAGAAAACTCCGTGGCGTACTCGGCTTCGGACCTAGCTCAGGTTTGAGGTCTGAGCCTTGCCTTCACAAGGAAGGGATCAGACACAGCGAAGCCTCGAGCAGAATTACAGGAAAAAACAATCTGGGAAAAGAAGATAATTAACCAGACTAATATTTTCCTTCTCGGTTGGATTGATCAGGGTCGGGTTTTTCAGCTTCTCGCGGTAAACGGTGGAAGTTATAGTCTCAAAGTTAAAGTATCAACAGACACAGGCCTTGACCATTCAAACCTTCCGCCCTCCCAATAACCTATCCCCGTTCGCCTCTAAATCGCGTCACCCAAACTCCGCGAGTCAGCGAAGACCCCTCGACCAATCGTTTGACTCGTACTTTACTCCTGTGGATGTGAGCTTGCTCTAGAAGAGTACTATTTGCCCCGCCCCAGTGTTCAAAGCAGGATGATGATTGGTCCATCAGCTTTTGGATGGCTAAGCCCAGCCCTACAGGGAACCTGTATCACCATTGGCTCTCCCTATGGCCAATCGTTATAGCCTTCCTGCGTTCTCAGTCTTTAGCCTCAACCCCACCAACCCCGGGAGATTTAAATTGCGACCACTCACTAGAGAAATACCTGGATTTATTGTGTTTACTTGGGAGGATTTGGGGAGCGTTTCTTTTTTTTTTTTTGCTACTTTCTCGTGCAGTTACGTCGACCTTTCTTCTCCTAGTTTTGCTAGCTAGCCACTGGAGATGGAGTTTTTGCCGCGGACGTGGCAGGTGTCGGAAAGAGACAGGTGTGTGTGTTTATGAAGAGCGTCACTGGCGCCTTCCAAAAGTTTCAGTGACCCTTTATAGAGGCAGCAACTCTTAGACGCTACGTTATGTCGGATAAAGGGAAATTATTTTGTAGGGAAAGAGCAGTTGAATAATTATCTTTGCACAATTCTTTACATTTCAAAGGAATTCAATTTCTTTACATTTCAAAGGAGTTGAGTATTGTTATGGAAATTTGTCTTATTATTAAAGGAGCTCTGGGACGCAATGGTTAAGCTGAAAGTCGGGGTTTGAATTTACCAGACACTCTGCAAGAAAAAAGACCTGGCAATCAGATACCTAGTAGGAAACACTATTGGACAGTTGTATCTGTAGGCTAAACACTGGATACAAGGTCGGTTTGAACCACAAGGTCCGTGGTTCAAACCCACCAGCCGGTCTTTGGAAACCCTGTACAGGGTCGTTACGAGTCGGAACCGACTAGGTAGCACATTACAACAACAATATCCTGTCATATATGGTCACAACAATAGGTAATGTTGTAATTCATGATTTTGGAACTCTGCTTTTCAATAATGGGAGGGTGGTAAGTGATGTATTTAAATAAGGTTAGCCAAAAGTGTTGAGTGAGTGGTACATGAAGCCCATTATATTGGTACTTGTCAAAGTTTTAAGGTGCATGCTAACCACCTTGATTGGGACCCAAGATTCTGTCTGCTAACAAGCTCTTAAGGAACCCTAGTAGCATAGTGGTTATGTATGTGGTTGCTAACCGAAAGTTCAGCAGTTCCAATCTACCAATCGCTCCACAGGAGGAAAATGAGGCTTTCTGCTCCCATAAAGATTTACAGCCTTGGAAACCCTATACAGGGTCTCTGTGAGTCAGAACCAACACACCACCACCAGCACCATAGCTAACTGCAAGGTCACTGGTTCAAACCTAATGCTGCTCCTGTTGTTGTTGTTCAGTGCTGTTGAGTCAGTTCCGACTCATAGCAACCCTGTATAGGGTTTCCAAGGAAACCCTATGTAGTCACTTGAGGTTGCACTGACTAGATGACACTTAAGAACAAAAGCTCTTAAGTGATGCTGATGCAACTAATCTTGGGACTATCACACTTGGAGTAGAATGACATTATGCTATTCCATACTACTGTGTATATTTGAAATTTGCCCTAATGTTGAAAATAGCCAGGGCTTTGAATGGATTCATTTCCTTTGACCTCCTCTTGAAATTTTGCATTTCTATCCTAGATATACTGTATCGCAATCTACATTTAAACAAGTTTCCCCTGATAGTAATTCTTATGTATATGATTCTTATAAAATGAGGCTTGGGGATCTCTAAGAATCACTTAGAGGAAAAATGTAGATTCTGACTTACTATATATCTGGGATAGAAATGCAAATTCTCAGTAAAGGGTCAAACTAGAATGAATTGGTTCAAAGCCCTCAAAATAACCTTGGAAGCTCTTGAAGATGCAGGAGCCTCAAGTACTGATTTCAATACGTCTAGAATGGGACCCAGTAATAATCAAGGCCCTCAGGTGCTACCAATGTAGATGGTTAGATGGTTTGCAGACCACATTTTGAGAAGCTATAAGTCAGAAATGCAATCTTCATCTTTGAGAAACAGTAAATTAAAAGTGCCACTTTTATCTTGAATCAGTCAGGAAGGTGGTAGTAGGTGGTCGTAGCTAGGTGGGGGTAGCTGAGAAGCATTGTAGTCAGATGGTTTTTACCCTAATGCCTACTTCATCTGTAAAATCTGCTTCTCCAGAGATATGTGTGAATACTTGTCCTCCAAAATAGAGATGGTGAGTGTGGGAGTCAACACAGAGCCATGCCATGCCAGGTGAGTTTGAAAATCAGGCTGGGAATTCAGAGTATGGGATGAATTGGCTCTGCTTTGGTGACTGTAATCATACTTTGTGGGGCATTGTGTACTTCCCCACAGGTGGGAGATAGAGACAGATGAAGTTGTCCTGCATCGGCGCCAAAAGCAGATAGATTATGGCAAGCGCACACCTGGCTACCGGTGCTTTCTACAGCAGGTCCCCAAGTGAGTGGAGTTGTGGGGTAGTCACTACAAAGTTGTCAACCAAGTTGCTTTGGTTCAGAGGGTGGAAAAATACTAGGAGTGTTGTGAATGTCCTCATGGATGATAGCACTTAACAACAACACAAAGTTGCAGAATTACTAAGATTACATTTCCTGCAATTTAGCCCTCATGTTTCCAAGAATATTTTTTTCAAGTGGACCAAGTAGTTTAAAAAATTGTTTTTATTGTGTTGAAATAGATTAAATAAACTATTTCAACAAGTTTGTAATTAATGTAACATTAATTACATTCACCACATGCAATAATCACCATTATCTATTTCCAAATTTTTTCATCATCCTTAACAAAAATTCTGTATCCATTAAGCAATACCTCCTATTTTCCTCTCCCACTTGCCCCTCCAGATAACTTTTAAAGCTGTATCTGTTTCCTAATTAGGTGGTTTTCCTTCCATTTTTACCATCATCTCATCACCCCCCCCAACTTGGTAATTGCAGCATATATACTTGCCTAATTACATGTAAGTTTACTTGCATTCGAACAAATTGAATGTATGAAAAGGTAGAATTTATTTTAAAGGGAAGTTAAATGTTTTTTATGTCTTTCTTGTTTTCCAAGAATATATCTAATATACCCTTTCCAGAAAAAAGAATATTCGGGAGGTTGAAAGTTTGATGTTTAATTTGAAGATAAAATTTTTCTGTTACATTGAGAGCAGTGATCTCAGGGAATTTCTAACTAGGTTCCTGGCTCACTGTGATAAGTAGAGAGTTGTGGCCCCTGCTACACTGGGGCCCTTTCACACTTGCCTCAGCCTAACCCACATTTGTTGTTGCCAGGACACAGCGACAGCCAGGCCTTCACCCTCAAACACCAAACAAGAACAGGAGGTACAGCCGTCGGTCCTGGGATGCCCAGATCAGGCAGTGGAGAAGAGCCCTACATTCCTGGGACCCACCCAGCTGCCCTGTGCAGGGCAAGAGAGCTCCAGGGTGTGTTCACTATTTCTAGTTCCTTCAGTTGAGCCCCACGTTTCCCTATAACTATGTGAAAAGGGAGGGTCTGCATAAAAGGCATATTCTCCTCACTCTGCTGCTTTCCCAGGCAGGAAATGGAAAATCTCTTTGCTCCAGTGGACTCCACCCCTTTGGATAACCTTCTGGATGACTGGCTCCAGGCCCTGGAACCTTCAGAGAATTGGGATGGAGACCAGGTAGCATCTTCTGCTGAAACCCACTGGAGCAGGGTCAGAGCTAAAGTCTAGCCCATAAATGTACCATTAAGATGATGGCCAAGGTACATCCAAAGAACAAAAGGCAAACATACAAGACATGACTTTAAAACTTGAGCACTAAGAGACAGCCCTGGTGGCACAATGGTTAAGCACTTGGCAGCTAACTGAATGGTTGGGCCTTTCAACCTACCCAGTGGTTCTATGGGAGAAAGGCCTAGCTATCTATAAAGATTATTGTTAAGTGCCGTTCAGTCAGTTCTGACTCAATAGTGACCCTGCATAGGGGGTTTCCAAGGACTGATGGTTTTGAACCGCCAACCTTGCAGTTCAAACAGACCTTGTGGTCCAGTGCTTATCCTAAAGCGCCACACCAGGACTCTTCTGTAGAAAATGTTGTTGTTGTTAAATGCCATGAGTAGGTTTCAAGGAGTGGCTGGTGAGTTTGAACTGCCGATCATTTGGTTCAAACTAACCATGCTGTCCAGTGCTCTATCCCATAGTGCCACACCAGGACTCCATAAATATTGTTGTTGTTTTTGTTGTTAAGTACCCGTGGAGTCCGTTCAGACTCATAGTGACCCTGGCACAGGGTTTCCAAGGCTGTAAATCTTTACAGGAGCAGAAAGCCTCATCTTTCTCCTGCAAAACCACTGGTAGTTTCAAACTGCTGGCCTTGAGGTTGGCAGCCCGACTTGTAACCACTACGCTACCAGAGCTCCTTCCATAAAAGATTACAGCCTACAAAACTCAAGCAGTTCTATTCTGTCACATGGGGTAACTATGAGTCAAATTGACTTTGGCACCTAATAAAAACAAAGAGATTTAACTATAGTTACTAATGAGACCAGAGCTTTGGGCTACACTGAGTGCTATTTTATATTTGTTGAAAGTGTATAACCTTCCTTTGAAATGAGGCCTGAATCTGATATGCAATTTTGTGTGTTTTTAAAGTGTCTCAATTTCTTTCAATGTTTTGCAAGAGAGCCAATGCTAACTTACCTTCTTTTACTCATGTAACTTTGTAATCATGGATGATAATAATCTTAAAAAGGGTGTGGGAGGATATAGTTTAGTGCTTTACAGAGTGAGGACTTTAAAGTCTCAGAACTGATTTTTAATACTGTCTTTGCCCACTACTTAAGACCTTGTGGCTCTGTAGGATAAACACTGGACTTTAACCACAAGGCTAACAGTTCAAACCCACCAGCTGCTCTGAAGGAAAAAGATGAGGCTTTCTGTAAAGTTATAGCTTCGGAAATCTTATGTAGAATCGCTATGAGTGGGATGTTGTTGTTGTTGGATGTGCCATGGAGTCGGTTCCGACTCATAGCGACCCAGTACAGGATTTCCAAGGCTGTAAATCTTTACTGGAGCAGAAAGCCTCATCTTTCTCCCGTGGAACAGTTGGTAGTGTCGAACTGCCGACCTTGGGGTTAGCAGCCCTATTCGTAACCACTACGCTACCAGAGCTCCTTCCTTAAAAGATTGTTGTTGTTGTTGTTATGTGCTGTGGAGTCGGTTCCGACTCATAGCAACCCTGCACAGGGTTTCCGAGGCTGTTAATTTTTACGGAAGCAGAATGCCTCATCTTTCTCCCGCAGAACAGCTGGTAGTTTCGAACTGCTGACCTTGTGGTTCGCAGCCAGATTCGTAACCACTACACTACCAGAGCTCCTTCCATAAAAGATTACAGCATACAAAACTCTGAAATAGTTAGCAGTGGGTTTATTTTTGTTTTCATGTTTTTGCCCACAACTTGGGCATTCACTTTACCTCTTGGGCTGTTTCATCTGTCGAATAAGGAAAATATTTAGCCTCATTTGGTGACTCTAAGCCAAAATAAGAACATATATTGAATTTATGTGTCCAGCAGTGTCCAGCACATAATAAGTGCTTCACAAACTGTTATTGAAAACCATGTCTTCTTTGCTACCGGTCCTGCCTCTGCTGCCTTTTCACCAAAGGGAAATGTGCAGTGTGAAGTAAATCCCCCTCCTACTTTCCTGTAAGTGCCTCACTTTTCCTCTACTCTTCTTTTTCAGTTTGCTGACTTCTTGGCTCCTGCCTCCTGCCTTCCCTGGCTCAGCGAGGATCATCTCACCACTTGCCACTTTCTAGCTGATCACAGCTATTTACCTGTCCTACACTTGAATGGGACACAAAATATTTAGAGAAAACATCTTTCAGGGGACTTAAGTATAATAGCGAGGATTACTTACATCACTACCACTTTCCAATCAATTAAAAACTAAAACTACCCTATAAAGATATCAAAACATGAAGGCTGTTTAAAACCTCTCCTTTTTCCGTTTGTTTTCCGGGTCTATCTGGACCTTCTTTGATGCTAGCTAATGCTCAAATTTACATAAGAAACTATCAAACCATCTAACTGTTCTCCAACTTCTTCACTTGAGATTACATTCAGTCTCTTAAAAGGATTTAAATTTCAGCTGAGGTGGGAGGTGGTGGTGATGATAGTAGAGATGGTAGAAACTTAAATAAAAGGTGGTTTTCCTCATCCTCAAGAGGAAGTAGTGCCGTCAACATCTTTTCCCCATCTGCTTGTTTCCTCCCTCCTTCTCAGGCTTAAAAAAAAAAAAAAAAAGTGATCCAGATGTAACCACTTTACCCCTTCATACTCCCTCCTACAGACCCGCAAGCAACTGAACCGCCTATGATGTCATAATCACAATCCCATTACCTCATCCTGATGGGGGGGGGTAGAGGGAGAAGGAGTGAATAACCCTGGGCTCTCCTCATCTTTAGGAAGTGTTCTGGGTTAGGGCTAATTACAGAACCAAGTAGAAACGCCCCCCTTAACCGATATAAGTGGTGGGTTTATACGGTTCAAGCCGATCCAGCAGCTAGAAGAGGGGCTCCAGGGACTCAGAACAGGCCCTAATCGGCGCTTGGACTACACTTCCCAGCAGTCTTCACGTCGTGGACGGATCCTCTGAAAAGGGGTAGGGCGATTCCTTTATAGAGTTAGCGGTATAGAGCGGGACAGAAGAACAGGTGAGAACAGCCTTGGCTAATGTTATTACGCGGTCCGAACCAAATGAATAGCTGCACTTGGACTAATGAGGAATAGGAGGGCGGGTGCCATGGCTTTGTTTACCTTAGTGGGGCACTGGTGCCCCCACGAGTTTCAATATATGCCTCCAACTGGGCACGTCCACCTTCTGCGATATTTTGGGGGGTGGTGACTCGATAGGGAGAAAGCCACCCCTATCCCTGAATCAAAGCGTTAAGCTGGTTTCTGACTGCGTTACCCGAGAAAGACTTTGAGAGAGAAACGACGCAGGGCTCAGGCCCCCGCAGCAGCTCAGGAGAATTCTTCGAATCGGTACGGTCCGCCCACTCTCCTTAGGGGACTGTTGGTTCGCGCCGGCGCCTTTTAAGGGCACCGTGGGGCGAACGGAGCGCTCAGAGCTGCTCCGGCCGCGGCCCTAGGAGCTGGAGGAGCCGCGGTAGGTGGCGGAGGGCAGGTGGTGCTGGGGCCTTGGGGCGGGCACTTCGACCGTCCCTCCTCCTTCCCTCTCTCCCCTCCCCCAACCTGGCTGCCCTCGCGGTCCGGCCTCGTAGGCCATCTCCGCGGGGAGACCACGGGACCCGGTGGGGGAGGGGAGGCGGAGTGCTAAGTCCCAGACCCTCGCCGTCCTCTGCGTCCTGAGTTCGCTTCCTGCGACCAGATGATGAAAGCTTGAGTGAAAACAGGAGAACGACAGCTCCCTTGAGTGAGCCCTAGCGCCCCCTCAGTGGCCAGCGGACGCCCTATGCCCCACCCCGCGGGGACAAGCAGAGGCAGCAAAGGGAGAGGTTGAAGATTGGAGGGGGCCTAGCCTTTTGCTTCTCCATCTGGGTTGGGGGAAGGGTGCACCCCCACTTGTCACCCCTATCCTCACCAGAGCCATATGGAGGGAGAGGTCCCCTCTTACCTGTAACTACACCTCCCTGCCTTTCATGTTTTTCTTTAGTCTCCTCCAGAGGTGTGGGGCTGTGGGACCTGGGGGGAAGGTCCCCAGGGGATTTGTAATTCTCCCTCTAGGCTTGACTTGATCCTAGGTTCTCCAGGTTTCAGCACAACATCAGCATCCTTGAGGCCCCAGTGTCAGTGGTTACTTCCATGTATGGGAGACAGGGTGCGGGTCCGATCTTTGATTTGGGGGGCTGGTAGAGGAGGGAAAGCCTGGACTGAGTTGGGCCTGGTGGGAAGGGCCTAAAGGCCTGCTGCTCAGTGAAGAGCTGAGCCCTGTGCCAGTTGTTAAGCTAAGAAGTTTTAACTTGTTTAGTGAACGTTCAGGGCTGTCTCTACCCCTTAGATACACAAAATGGAAGGGGAAGGAAAGCGGCAAGAGAAGGCTTCTTATACTTTTTCAGTGCCTGAGAAAGAGGAGGCCCCTGGTGGAGCTGGTTTGCCTTCTTTTGTGTCTTGGTTTGATTCCTTATGGCTTCCGTTCTGTTCCCCCTCTCAGCCTGGCCTGTTTTAGGAAACTCAGGCAGAGAGTATCAGTTGCGTGGTGGTAGTTGCATTGTTCCAATTACCGCCGTGTGTGGCCATATCCCAACAATTAAAATGCAGAAAACACAAAATCACTCTCTTCCCTTGATTCCAGAGAGGGCTGGGAGTTTGCTGTTTGGCCAAATGCCTCATGAAAAGCTTAAAAGAGTTTGCCTCATTCCCTGCTCATGGCTGGTCAGTCATCCTGAGGCCTGGGGTCTCTGGGGTAAAAGTCTGCAGTTAGGTTCCTTCTCTGCTTGATCTTTCAGAGCAAAGTTAAGAAACCAAGAACAGAAGTGTTAAAAGTATTAGCTTTGCCATTAGAACATAGGGGAAACAACTAAAGGGAGCTCTTAGGAAGCTAGGACTTGGTTCAGAGTGGTGTAATAATTATGCATGAAAATGATAGTTAACTGTAATGATGATTGACTTCTCTAGCACCTTTTTCCTAAAGAACTCCAAGTACATTCAGATGTGATCGTGTGCTCTTCCTTGTGTCCTCCTGAAGTGGGAATGGAATAAAGATGATTCTCTCTTTTATTTATTTATTTTTTGCAAAAGTAGAGAGTTCTTTGCCCCCAAGGTCATAGAAGAGCCCTCTTGGGCTTCTGTTGGTACGCAGCCAGAGAGATAGACTCCATTGCTGTCTTCATCTTAATGATATCATCGCTTCTGGCATCCTGAGGCTTTGTAGAGTAACAAACAGGAGGGGTGAGAAACGGCAGCCTATGTGGACTCCTGATTTGTACAGGCCAGATGGTATGTTTTTTTGTACAATTTTTTCACATTTTATATCATATCCTTCCTGTTAACAGTTTAAGATTATTCTGCCCGTTTTACCTATGGGTAATTTGAGGCCAAGGAAGGTTAAGTAGTTTGACAAAACTATCACAGGAAGTTGAATTAAAATTTAGATTTCTTGATTCTTTGTTCTCTCTACCAGCGAATACAACATGCACCCTCTGGTGAGCTGTCTGCCTGCTGGTCACTATTGGGAATGGGCAGAACAAAACTATTAGGACACTAGATTAACCTCCCAGTTTCCCTTGAGCATGGCTTCTCAGGCAACTGTGGTCTTGAAGCCTTTTCTTTGATGAGTTGGTTTGCTTTTACCAGAAGTTGGTCCTGAGACAGTCTTGATTAATTGTATTCATGGTCTTTGAGTTAGATCGAACTAAAAACTTAGTAGAATGAAATCACAGAGGAGTTGTTCTTGTTGTTTTTAATTTCTATAGAGTTGAAATGTAATGGAAATTAATCTGATAGCAGTCCTTTAGTCTCATCCCATTTTACCAGAAAATATACAGTGTTCGTTGGAAAACAATAGTATGTTAGCTGCTCAGGAGGACATAAAACACTGTTTATTCTGATTGGTCTGAAGTGGAAAGTCATTCCTACAAGCGCCACTCCTCTCTACCATTAATACTTCCCTAGTTTAGGAGGGTACTTCTTTTCTCTTCTGACTCTGACTGGGACGATAAAGAAAATATTAGGTTAATCAGAAGCAGAATAACCATTTGGGCATTCCCTTCTTTTCAGCTGTTTTCTGATCTGGGGTTCTGGGTAGTCTTCAACTGAGCATGAACCAGGTTAAGAATGGCAAGTAAGTTTCAACTTGCTAGTCAACTGCAGGTCACTTTACTTGCTATATGGAGTGCCATGTTCAGAATGTTTCTGAGATTATATTTCTAAGACTGTGTTTAGGCTTAGAAGGAAAGAGTTGTGATCAATTAATAATGTCTGCCGGAGGCGTAGGGTGCTGTGGTATGTGTGCCATGCATTTTCCATCTTTGGACCAGGTACATCTCTAATATCACTTGGGGCTGGTCCCTCTGTAATTGGCAGACTCAGCAGGCATGACTGGAGAGGGAAGTCCCAATGGTGCTAGAATGGTGCTGCAGTGGCAGAAGACGTCTCACGAGTGAGGTCTGGAAGAACGACAGGGAAGACATCCATCATTTGCTCCAAAGTGTGCAAGTCAAATCCTGGGGAGAATCATGATAACCCTGATCACTGAGCAGCTACAGAAGCAGACTCTGGATGAGCTGAAATGCACACGCTTCAGCATCAGTCTGGTAAAAGACCAGTCTTCCTGCTTCTCCACGACCCCACCCCCCTCCTTTTTTCTGAGGCTGTTTGTTGCTACTTCTTTACCCTTGTCCTGTCTGTATGAATCATGGAAGAGCTCAAAACCTGGCTCAAAAAGAAGGGGGCAGGGATTGTTCCACTGACAGAGAAGGGACACTAAAACTTGGGTGGAGAAGGGTATTGAGATATTGGAAATGTGGATCGTTTTACTGACTAATTTTGGGAAGACAAGAGGACAAGAACACTTAGGAGTCCCTCACATCCCTACAGCCCACACAGTTCAAGGATGAGCTGAAGAGGGCTTCATGGAAATCTGTCAGTATATCCTGAACTCGAATGATTATAGATATTCTCTCTCTCTTAGCCTTTGCCTGATCATGCAGACATCTCCAACTGTGGGAACCCTTTCCAGCTTGTGTCTGGTAAGGCATAATGGTGTGTGTGTGTGTGTGTGTGTGTATACGTACACTTATGCCAGCATCCACACAGTTCTTCCAGGGACTAGGGATAGCTGGTCTATCTACATATAAAACTTTGTTGCAAGGGACACCTTCCAAGATTAACACTTGTCTCTCTTTTAGTGTCCCAGGACGCTAGTTATCTGTTTAGTTTACTCTTATTGTAACCTTGTGGGGACTTTCATAGTCTAATCTTTTTTGAAGAGGATGGTTAAGAAATTTTTGAATTTCTTTTTTTTTAATTTTTAAATTTTATTATTTAAAAAAATAATAAATATAGAGAAATGTTGCTCTTCTACTCTTGCCACCTATTAATCCAGCTTCCATCATCTCCCTGAAGTAACTCATGTTATTAGTTTCTTAAATACCCAGAATTTCTTATACCCACTTGTTATTGTTAAGTGCTGTTAGCAACCCTATGTAGGGTTTCCAAGGAGCAGCTGGTGGGTTTGAATTGCTGACCTTGTGGTTAGCAGTCCAGTGCTTATCCTACAGTGCCACACCAGCACTTACACACATAGAAGTAATATATGAGGAGTGTTCAAGAGTTCACGGAAAAATTGCATTATCTTTTAATTCCTCTTTTCTATGGACTTTCTAAAGTCCCCTTGTAGTGCATAAACTTACCTCTCATATAGTTAGGATATCATTCAAATGAGTACATTGAATGTTTTTTTAATAGCTGTTTATAATTACACAGTACAGATCTATTTATTGCAGTTTAACTGATTTCCTGTTGATGTTCATTTTGTTTGTTTCCAATCTTTTATTATGACATATGAAACTTAGGTGAATAACCTTATTATATGTGTCATTTTGCCTATGTGAAAATCTGTCTGAGGTATTAATTCCCAGAGTATGAATTAATCAATGGATCTGATCTGTGTTTGTGGATACATTTAGATAAAGTGAACAACCAGAACTCTCTAATTCGTGCTGCCAGGTCATTCTGCATTTTATTTTATTTTTGGGAATATCTAGCAAGGGAAATGAATTAACAGAGTTATATTCATTGAACCTCTGCCTCCTATTTATGAACTATTTGCTGCATGCAAGGTGTTATAGTTAGGTGCCATTTAGTCAGTACCGACTCACAGTGACCCTATGCACCATAGAATGAAACACTGCCGAGTCCTGGGCCAACCTTATAATTTTTGCTACATTTGAACCCATCGCTGCTGCCACTATGCCAATCCATCTTGTTGGGGGTCTTCCTCTTTTTCTCTGACCCTCCATTTTACCAAACGTGATATCCTTTTCCAGGCCTTCTGACAATATGTCTGAAGTATAAGAGATGAAGTGTGGCCATCCTGGCTTCCAAGGAGCATTCTGGCTGTACTTCTTACAACATAGATAGGTTTGTTCTTTTGGCAGTCCAGGGTACTTTTAATATTCTCCTCCAACACTATAGCTCAAATGCATCACTTCTTCTATGGTCTTTCTTTTCCACCATCCAACTTTTGTACTATACTATAACTACACAATAGACGCATGGTTCCTGTTCTCATGGAGATTAGTAGTCGGGAGAGCAGTTGGTCACATAAAGTCAAATATGAGTTTTCTGTATCATCTAGTCTTAACTTCATATACTTGTCAGTTGCTCCAAATATTCAGCCCTGTAGATTCCAGCTGGCTAGCCAGAGGTCATAGTATGCTTTTTTGTCCCTTCTGTAGCTGTCTCCCTAAAGTCACAGTTTTGATTAGAATGCAGTGAAGACCATTCTTTTTAGTCAGTTTCCCCTCCCTCATTCTCCCCATTCTGTATGAATTTAACAGAGAGCCTAAGGAAAAGGAATCAATGTGTGTGGGTGGCTAGCCCCAAAGGAACATAGGCGGCATAAAGTCTTAGGGTTTCCAAGGCATAGGTCCCTCCTTCAAAGGCCTTTTCCTACCCCATTTGTCCTCCTTAAAAGTAAAAGTGATGTCTTACCTGCTTGATTACATCTTGGCAGCTCCTTACTTATATCTTGGTGCAGTTGACACATGGGAAGAAAAGGGAGCCAAGGGATAAAAGAAGCAATCTGGTGGTTTCTGGAGGAGGAGGAAATGATACATGCACTAGAGGGTGGACACGCGTTGACATGGGTGACGGGGCAGGCAATATACAACTGGAGGGAGGTTGGCAGAGGAAAGATGAGGGTGGCAGGAGACACAGGGGAGGAATGCAGTGGTTAAAGTGAATAGAGGTAAATGCTGTTAACTGTTGGTGCATGGAGGGGATTGCAACCATGTAATGAAGCAAAGTATATGATTAGTTGAATGTAAAACTGATGATCTTCTCTGTAAACCTTCACTCGATTCACAATAAAAAGTTAAAAAAAGGAAGTTAAGGAGATTATAGTCCTGCTTTTTAGAACCCAGAGTAGAGGGTGGGCGGATTTACAGAGTAGGGATGGGTAGAGTGGGGTAAGGAATGAACAGAGCATAAAACATACATGTGTCTCTTTTTGGTTTTGTTTCAACTTTTTATTATAAATTGAGTGAAGGTTACAGACCAGATCAGCATTTCAATGATTGCAGTCCTCTCCATGCAACAACAGTTACCTACTTCCTCCCTGTGGTTCCTATTTCCATTCCATCCTCCTTTCCATCCTTTCTCAACTTTGTCCTTAAGTAAATATTTCCCTTTTGGTCTTGAATGATTCCATGGTGAGATTACCCTACTAGTGTTGTTGTACATATCTACTGCTTGACTGAAAATTAGGCAGTGAAATGAGAGTGAGTTCCGTTCCAGACGTAAATGGTGTTCAAAGCCATATTCTTGAGTTGCTCTAGTCTTTTTTCTGACCAGTTAGCCCAATCTTTTATTTATTATTTTATAATTTTTAGTTTTGTTCCACATTTTCTGCCACTCTTACCTGGACCTTCTAATGCTATCCCTTTTTGAGTAGCTGTAAGAGGTAGCCAGGCACAAGCTAGTTCTTCTGGCCTCAGAGTCATGGTGACTGATGTTCACCTGCTCCGTTGCTCCATTGG